GACAGAGACTCACACAGACTCAAACAGACTGACAGAGACTCACACAGAATCAAACAGACTGACAGAGACTCAAACAGACTGACAGAGACTCAAACAGACTGACAGAGACTCAAACAGACTGACGGAGACTCAAACAGACTGACGGAGACTCAAACAGACAGACAGAGACTCACACAGACTCAAACAGACTGACAGAGGCTCACCCAGACTCACCCAGACTCAAACAGACTCCAACAGAATCACACAGACTGAAACAGAGTGTGTGAAGGACTCACCCAGACTGCTACAGACTAACACCGACTCACACGGACTCACCCAGACTCACCCTGACTCACACTGACTCACACTGACTTACATCGACTCACACTGACTCACACTGACTCAAACAGACTGACAGAGACTCAAACAGACTGACAGAGACTCAAACAGACTGATAGAGACTCAAACAGACTGACAGAGACTCACACAGACTCAAACAGACTGACAGAGACTCACCCAGACTTACACAGACTCAAACAGACTCCAACAGACTCCAACAGACTCACACGGACTGAAACAGAGTGTGTGTGAAGGACTTACCCAGACTGCTACAGACTAGCACCGACTTACACGGACTCACCCAGACTCACCCAGATTCACACTGACTCACACTGACTCACACAGACTCGCACAGACTCACACTGACTCACACAGACTCACACAAACTCACACTGACTCACACAGACTCAAACAGACTGACAAAGACTCACACAGACTCAAACAGACTTTGACAGACTTGACACAGACTCACACTGACCCACATGGAATCACGCAGACTCACCCTGAATTACACAGACTGACCCAGACTAACACAAAACCAGACGGAATCACACAGACGCAACCAGACTCATCAAAGAGTCGCAAAGACTGCAGGGACTCGTACTCTCTCTCACGGAGTCACACAGACTCACACTGACCCACATGGACTGACACAGACTCACCCAGAGTCACACAGACTCCCCCAAGCTGACCCAGACACACACACACATACAAGGAGTCACACAGATTGACACAAACTGAAGCAGAGTCATCACAAACTCGAACGGACTGACACGGACTCACACAGAGTGACGCAGACTCAAACACAGTCAAGTCCTTTAGATGAGCTTCGAACACTTTAGACGAGCTATCCCTACAGTGGGGCCAACCTTTCAACAGGGTTGGGTAATGGGCGCCGTTTACCAAATGATGGCGAGAGCGTCCATGTTGAAATGGACCGCACTTGCCAACCAGACATTTATTTTCACTTGCATCTACGCGTCTGTGCACATGTGCTCGTGACTCTTGATGCGTCAGGATAATTTTCACTCACTGTATGTGGAAGTGTTAACTTGCATGAAAACTCACCGATTGATGTGTATAAGAGACAGGTTGGGAAGTGGGTGCCACTTATGTCGTGATACGGCAACAACGTCTTCATATACGGCCCCAACTTCCCAACCACATCGTCACAAGCAATGCACATGTGATACGGTAATAAGAATATATAATTTGTGTGTGTGTGTGTGTGTGTGTGTGTGTGTGTGTGTGTGCTGTCTCTTATACACATCTAGATGTGTATAAGAGCCCGCCCCCACCACACACACACACACACACACCGACTCACCCTCTGAATACGAACTGCAACAATGAAAGGAGAGACGACAGAGACACACAAGAGAAGCGACAGACAAGGGTGTGCAAATTTTCGTCATAGTTTGTGGCACGCATGCAGTGGAACACGGTCATGTCAACCAAAGACATGATCTGTGAGAAAATGAAGGTACAGATATTATTGTTAATGACGACATTAGAAAAATCCAGGATCTATCACTCGAGCACATATTCTCACACACACAAACACACACATACACACACACACACACACAACACACACACACACACACACATACACACACACACACACACACACACACACACACACACACACTTGTGAAGACAACACAGACCCGTTTTCCTCCATATATATAATTTCTTATTTTTTTTAGGCGTCGTGCTTTTCACCGACTTTCCTTTCCTCTTTGATGCCCCCCTCGCCTCCCCTTTCCCCTCCTGTTCGGCAGACTCGGGCGCTACTTCTTGTCTGTTTGTGTCATCAGCATTCGCCCTCCTCCTCTCCTGTCATTGTCTGACCAACTCTTTCTCGACCACGACGCCTTTGGTAAAAACACACCAACGTGGTTTTTGCAATGCGTCAACGAGCCTCATGTCCTTCGTCAAGATCGTCACCCGCTTCGAATGGATTGCAACCTYGTTCGTGCTCTCCATAAGATGCACAARATAGGCTTCARCTGCCTCCAGAAGTGCTCRAATTGCAAGCATCYCGAACCGCATTGGTTGTGTTGCAACATCTTCTTTCTGCACAACCTCGCGCACAAGCCTCACAAATGGTCTGTAAGGGATGCAAAGCTCTGTGCTGCGTTGCAGTCGACGCATCTCCGCCACAGCAGCCTCTCCGGATCGGCGATTGTGCCTCGGCCCATCTATTTTCCCGCCTGTCTCACCATCCATTGCTGCCCCATCCCCCTTCCCTTACCTCGACTCCCCCTCCCTGCTATCGTCGTTGTCCCCCCGTTGTCGCGTTTGGTTGTCGCCTTCCGCTTCGTTCCTTGCTCCGTCCGCCTGCTACCATCGGTGCACACCGTGTCGGTGACTAGCGCGTTCTTCTCCACAACAGCACGTCCTCCACCCGAGTGTGCAGCCGGTCCGTCAACGTCACATCCCCCAGGAGCGTCTTCAGGTGGTCTGTTTGCCTCGGATGCCGATTGTCCCGTCACTTCAAACTGAGGTTCTCTAATCCCCGCATTATAATCGTTCCCCTTCATGTCCTCCGTTGCCATGTACTCAATGTGCCACAACAAACCATCAGAGTACGTCACAAAAAACGGAACACCCAGAGGGTCTCTGAACTCCATGGACAGGTCTGCCCCGCAGGCATAACGCATGGGACAAACAATGGGTACCCATCCAAGAAGTGTTGACCGCCCGTATCTGCGGCGAACAAGGGCTTGCGCCCATGCCAACACCCTACATTGACCACATGTTCTCGTCATCACGACCGTCATATCCACACAACATCATCTGACGGTCCTCAACATTCAATCTATCCCAACACAGCTTTGCATGTTTGCACAATAACGTTTTGTTATTCACCCTTGCATTGCATATCGACACACGAGCCAGCACAACCATGAAATGTCAATGCTCAACAACACCTGAAGGCATCCAACCCATAGGTACCCACTCGCCTGAACGCAGTCTGGCTGCCATCGTAACTTTCTTTTCAAAAATGCCAGGATGAAAGACACCGGGTACCCAATTCACATGATACTCGTACATCTCCCCAGATGAATGTCTGCTCAACTCCGTTTGTGAAATAACAGTGCCAAATATGTCAATATCAGGCAGCCTCTCCGGCGTTGTTATGTCGGGGTCCCATATGCCAACGAACAGACCATCATAAGTGACCTCCCTTCCTCTTATGTGCCGCAGACAAATGTTGTCCTCCCCCGAAAAAACTTTCCCCTTCACAATTGGCGAAAACACGGGGTTCTGCACTGGGATCAGGGGTTCCCCTGTAGCGGCATCAAAGGACTCCATCATCTCATACTCCAAATAACGAGACGAGAACTCGCCATTTATATAGACTGTACTCCAACAGTTCCCAATTAGATTGCGGACAAACATCCTTATCTCCCCATATTCACAAGGAATGCTTGACGACACCCAACCCCACCGCGCATCTCACCTTGCATCATTGTCATTGCATACTCCATCCCCAACTCGTGTGCTGTCAGAAACCACCCATTGTTGGGAGCAGTCCTCACGATCGTAAAAGAAATCATTCAGTCGTAACCCCCCCTTTTCTGCTAGTGCCTCCAAAAGGACAAGCGTGCATTTGATCAGATGTGGAAGCGCGACGCCGTCATTCAGCCTTGCCAGTCGGTCCAAAATAATGGCTGTCGTGATGTAGCCCCATGTGGCCAATTTAGGTGGAGGATAAGGGACCCATGTATCACCGCTCTTAAAGGCGAGGCAGTGCTTGCCCCCGTTCAAGCCTGGCTGTACCTTGCCAGGCTCCCAGTTGATATCGTAAAGGAATTGCGTTCTTGCTTCAGTCTTGGTGATACAGTCACTGCCAACTGTGCAGATCGGAGTGTCTTCGTTGCGTGTCCCCTCGCCGTTATCCGCGTCCTCATTTGCAGCCACGCAAAGGACACCCAACATTTCCTCTGATTCCATTTGCAACATCGTTTCTTGATTGGTATCGTTACCTGTCACCCCTCTCCCTGGACTGGCAACGCACTGCTTGTGAGCGCCGTCTCTTGCTATGACGTTTGATATATCTTGATACAGGTCTTCGGTCGTGCATGCAATAGTCTCGMCCGCCATGTTCGTGGACACATTTGACTTCTCCATCTATAACACGAGACATGACAGACATGTTGGAGAACATGTGACGACGGACACGTTATTCGTATGAGGGGGGGAGAGAGAGAGAGAGAGAGAGAGAGAGAGAGAGAGAGAGAGAGAGAGAGAGAGAGAGAGAGAGAGAAACGAAGAGTAAATACGTATGTCGAAGACATATGTGTCGGTGTCAGGGTTTGTCGATGCAATATGGACAATACACACACAGGGAACCCCAAACATCAACACGGTTGAGAACTAGGTGTCAGATATGGCCGGATGCAATAACGTGTGAAAAGACAACCCCCGCATCCACACACACACACACACACACACACAATATCAACAACGCGAAAAAAAGAAAAAAAAAAACCTTACTTCCTTAAGGTTGGGAAGTGGGTGCCACTTACGCCGGTTTACGGCAACAACGTCTTCATATTCGGCCCCAACTTCCCAACCACAACGTCACAGGTGTAAGTAATGTGGTACGGTACTACCAGAGAGAGAGAGAGAGAGAGAGAGAGA